AATTCTCTGAATAAATTTATGACATGAATATATTCTTCAAATTGTGTTTGTAATGTTGAGCGTCTAAATAATAATCTTTTAAATATCTATGACTAAATATTTGCACACCTTTAAGAGGTTATATTACAGCGTACCTATGTATTATATGATGTTCTTCTACCACCTTTATACCTGTTTTATGCAAATAATAAATGATTTTGATTTTGATTTTAGACACTCTGTACCGTTAGCATTATTCTGGCTGATGCGAATTGCGAGGGACGAGTACCTACGCGTTTTTGTTTGATTGTTATCTTGTTGTTGTTTTCTTTGTTGTTATTTGTTATCAGTTTTAAGTTTTGTTATATTGTTATAATTTTGTTACAATGAGTAAGAAAATAATTAATAGCCGTGCACGTGAAATTATTATTCAAGTGGACAATTATTTTGTACAAGAGAAAGAGGACACTATGCTACTACTTCAGAATGTAACTAGATCATTAAAAGCTGCACCCGACACTAGTGAAGACGTAGTGATGTCTAAAAAAACGGTATTAGAAATTTCAAAATACTTACAAAATACGACCAAGGTCACAGAGCACGTAATGAGCGCTACAGGGATATCAAAAAATACAGTAGCAAAATTAACTAGACGGGCTAGTGGCAGTAAAATTAAAACTCCAGTTAAAAAAAAGACGTCCATGTGGTGACGGATTAAGAATACAAATTGTCACCACCCCAATTCATCCCGTGGGTGTCGTAAGAGCCGACTAAGTGAGCAAACTAAGCAGGACAACAGCACTGCAAAGAGAAGGAAAACTTGAAACAAACCCTATACCAACCCGTCTGGCCAGCGTGGTATAGTAGGCCAAAACCTCCTTTCTAAGGAGAGGCCTATGTCCAGCAGTAAACTAGTATAGGCTGTTGATGATGATAAAAAAAAGAGGGGAAAAAAGGAATTTTTGGATGGTTTTTCTCTCGCAGCTTTAAGAAATATAATAAATTCTATATACATAGTACGAAAGGAAGTGCCCATTATGAGAAAAATTATGGCTGCAGCTAAACAAGATTTAGACTATAAAGGGAGTGAGACTACCTTACGTCAAATTATGAAAGATAATTTAGGTTGTAGATTTAAAAAATGTTATCAAAAAAGATTAACATTAATTGAAAGACCTAATATACAGGCATGGAGGGCTAAGTATTTACGCCGCATGAAAAATAATGGTTCTCTTGGCGCCGACAAAAAGCCAGTTATTTATATTGATGAGACTTGGATTCATGCTCACTATACGAGTACAGTAAAAAAGTGTTGGCAATCAGATACGGATGTGGGAGTAAAAAAAAATGAGAGCCCTGGTCGCCGCTGGATTATAGTTCACGCTGGTAGTGAATCCGGATTTGTCGATGGCGCACTTTTAATGTTTAAGGTAAACAGTAAAACTGGTGATTACCACGACCAGATGAACACAGAAAATTTCAGTAAATGGTTGAAAGAAAAGCTTATTCCTAACATACCACCTAATTGTATTATAGTTATGGACCCAATCACAGCAAAGAGGAAGACAGAACGCCGAATATGTGTTCAAAAAAGGAAGAAATGATAAAGTGGCTCCAAGCTTATAATATTGAGTTCCCTGTTCACATTACTAAACCAGAATTATATTTATTGATAAAAAATCACAAAGTTCCAAAAAAATATATTATGGACAAATATTAGCGGAACATGGCCATGAAGTTGTTCGACTACCGCCGTATAATTGCGACCTCAGATAAAAATCCTCAGATAAAAATCAATAAATAAAGAGTCTCAGATAAAAATGTCGAACAGTTAGAGAGTAGAATCGAATCGATAACATTAGAGGCATTACAATCCATTACTCCTGATGATTGAAAAAAAGAGGTCAATCACGTCAAAAAACTGGAAGAAGAATACTGGCGTAAAGACCGACTAGTTGATGATTTATTTATAATTAATACCGGAAATGATTCTGAATCAGATACAACAGACTCAGAGTAGAAAACAATTCTAAATCTGATTTAGATTGTATGAGTGGGATTGAAGAATTAGGTTAGATTTTTATTAAATTGAATCAAAATCTAACCTAACCTAATATTATTAATATAGTTATATTACTAATAAGTCTTTTCTGATAAACATTGAAAATAACACAAACATTTTTCATTTCTTAGATAGATACCTATTTCCAAGGTGTGAGATTAATTAAATGTCATCAAATATCAGTTTTTTCGTAAAATGTAATCTTACAATAAATGTCATTTCAAATCTGTCAAACTTAATAATTAACCTATTAAATTTACAATTGCATTTCTTTTTTAGCAAGCTGTACTTTTCTATTTTGGATGACGTCACGTGGCTCTTGATGTGACAAAGTTCCTGCGCATTAGCAATTTGCGAGTATAATAGTCGTTTTAAGTATGCTTTGGCGACATTGTTCAAATGATTAATCGGCTTCGGGCGTCCATTGTACGAGTATTGGTAACTTATCGTTTTTCTTAGAATTATGTAAGTATTTATTGAGTATGTATTGCTGTTCAGATTGATGGGGTAATCAATTGCGGTAGAAGTTTATCATGCCTAAAAATCTTCTTCATTCTTGTATTGTAGCGGGTTTTGGGTAATTACTAATAGCTTGAATGTTTTCTTCCGTGGGTTTTATTCCGTCTGATGAAACTTCGTAGCCGAGGAATTGAATTTTATTCTTGCCGAATTCACATTTGTCGATGTTAAGAGTTATACCATGTTTGTTTAGGCGTTCAAGTACTTTATGAAGGTGTTGTTTGTGATAATTAGGATCCGAAAATATGATCAAATCGTCGACAAAACAGTAGCAAATGTCGTCGAGTCCACGTGGTACTTCATGCAAGAAACGTTGGAACGTTTGTCTTGAATTACGTAAACCGAAAGGCATACGGTTAAATTCATATAGACCAAACGGGGTAATGATCGCAGTTTTCGCGGCGTCCATTTTTTCCATGGGCAAAATGTAATATGCCATTTTCATATCCAATTTGGTAAATATTGTTTTTCCGTGTAACTGTTAGGTATAATCCTGAATTCTAGGTATAGGATATCTGTCTGGTATTGTAACGGCGTTTACACTTCTATAGTCACCGCCTACTCGTAGTGAACCGTCCTTTTTCTTAACAACGTGTAGTGGGCTGGCCCAAGGGCTATTTGAAGGTGCCCATTTCTATCATTTTCTCGAACTCAATCTTCGCGGCTTTATATTTATCGGGCGGCAGCGGACGTGGCCTAGAGTAGATAGGCGGTCCTGTTGTTTCGATTCGATGTGTGACGTATGTTTTGCTGTAGTCTCGATTGACATTGGACGTAGAATATCAGGGTACTGTTTCATAGGAGGCACTCGCATCGGCATCGAGCCCTCGATCAGGTATCTGGGGCTCGTACTCGATGGCCGATGGGACTATATCATTTCCGAGGTCTGGTCCCCAAGTTGGTTGGGGCAACGCGTGCGTTGGCGAGGCTGCTGCACAACATGAAGGGACCCGATGACTCCTGCAGGAGACTCTACTCGGGGGTTGTGTGGTCCATGGCTCTTTACGGTTACCCCATTAAGGCCAGCAACGTCGCAATACTGCGACGACCGCAGCGAGTGCTGGCCATCAGGATCATAAGGGGGTACCGCACAATCTCCTTTGAGGCGGCTAGTCTCCTGGCCGGAACTCCACCGTGGGAACTGGAGGCGAGAGCCCTTGCGGCTCTGTATAAGTGGCGCAAGGAGGCGCGGGAGTTGGGTCGGTGTCCCGAGACTCGAGAAATCGATGACCGGGAATCCCAACTCCGCCAGGTCATCATAGGGGAGGAAGGAACGACTCGGGCAACCGAGCGCCGGGCACGCCGTCATCGCGGCGGTAAGACCCGTTATGGAGGATTGGCTCGAGAGGCGTCACGGGACCCTCTCATACCGACTGACGCAGGTGATCACTGGGAAAGGATGTTTCGGGGATCACCTGTGTCTGATCCGCAAGGAGCCAACGCCTGAGTGCCACCACTGCGATGGCCGTGGACACGGCTCTCCACAGGCAGAGTGCCCGGCGTGGGTTGAGCAGAGGCGAGACCTCGTGGCGGCCATCGGAGTGGGAGTTCTCTCGCTCGATAGCCTGATTGCGGCTATCGTGCGGAGCGAGAGTGCGTGGAACTCTGCCGTCTCCTTCTGCGAGCAAGTTATGCTCGTGGAGGAGACGGCGGAGCGGGACCGGGAGAGGTTTAGGACTCTCCCGGCCCGCCAGGCCCGGCAACGGGCCAGGTCGCAGAACGACCTCCGTCCTCCATAAGCGCAGGCCTGGGGGTGACAGGTGAGGCCATCTGTCACCCTAGCAGAAGCAGGCCGGGGTGGCGGCGAGCGCGTTGCGAAGCGCGCTCGCTTCCATGGAGCAGAAGGAACATGGGGTTCCCACACGGGGGGGGGGGGGGGGGGGTCGTCTACCTGTTGCTGTAGATGGTATGTTGGGTGACCAGGGACTTCCTTTCTAGGGTATACCTGGTTCCCCGGCTATTAGTACCCGAGACGGCGTGCGGTTTTAGTCGGTTCGAGTCCGACATGCCACCGATAGGTGGTATCCGAGGGGATCCGCACGAAAAAAAAAAGGGTAACTACTGTTTCAATATGTCGTGATAAACGTTTTTACGATTAATTAGGTAGACGGATTCTTCGGTGCCACATATTTGAAACGCGTTAATTCTGAGCTCAGTGACACGATCTACTATTTTTTTTTATGCAAGTCTACTAATAATTTAGGAAGTCTGCACCTAATATTGAAGTTTTCACGTCGGCGACCATTAATGTCCATTTAAAACTTCTACGTAAGCCTAAGTTGAGCTCTAGTGTTCGCTCGCCGTAGGTACTCGTACGTATCTCTGTGCCGTATAATTTACGTGTATTCTCAGTAGGCTTCAAAAATCTTGTTTTCTTTGCGGCTAGTACGGATATGTCGGCTCATGATCATCAGCATCAAGAAACTTTTCTTTATTATTTCTATCTATAACACATAGGCGGTAGGTTCCTTGGGTCACACCGACGTCCGCCACGGTCGGTGTCTTCTTTAGTTTTCCTGATTATTACTCGTATCATTTGTTTGTAGTTTTGAGCACAGCGGTTTGCATTTACGCGCGTCATACCCGTAGCGATAGTGATAATAGCACAACCAATCACCGTCGCCGGGTCGGCGACGAGAGCGTGATCGCTCTGCGCTCTTGAGTGATTTTCAAAGCGCGAGCGGTGCAGTGGACGATGTGGCAGGTAATGTGTTGAACGATGCTGGTTCGACCTCATTTCTAACGGCTATTTGTAGCGATAGTTTCTCGATTTGTTTTGTAAGTAAGTTAAATTGGAGGTTTTCTACTTCAGTATTCTTTTAGTGGTTTTCAAGCGATGGCACAGTGGTTTTAGTGGTAATTGCGGAAGCCGTTGCGGGTTCAAAATGTTCTAACATTTTGTCGGCCATTGCAGCTAGGATCTCTGATGAGGACTCGTGTGTTTATAGCTAGCATGCCGCGTATTTGTGTGGGTAATTAGTTGAGCCATATTACTTGTAACGCTTCGTCTGTTAGTAGCTGCCCGCTAAGGTCACGCATTTTTCGTAATAATTGGCTAGGTTTTGAGTCGCCGAGTTCTAGACCGCTGAGTAGTTTTTGTAACTGGCGATGGTCTGATTCTTGGTACGTGAATATTAGTATGTTCTTCAATGTGATGTATTTACCAGTAGCAGGTGGATTCAGTTTAATATTGGCGATTTGTTCTAGGTCATCGCAACCGAGGAGTGGGACGACTAGATTGAATTTTTGTTCTTCCCGGATTTTGCTCGCAGCGACGGCGCTTTCAAATTGTGCGAACCATAATGTAGGGTTTTGTCGCCAGAATGGTGGTAGACGTGCAGGCAGCGCAATAGTGGCTACGTCGCTCTTGGCTGTAACTCCCTGGGCTTCACTGAATGTCATGCTCTCTTCGCTTGTCATGGTCGTATGTATTCACGCGGACCGTTGTAGAAGATATATATGTTGCCTCGTCCTCGTTAGTCCGTCGTTGCGGCATAAGCTGAGCTGTAGGTATTTACTCGCGGTCAGCTAGGCAACGTTGAGGACACGTCGACGCGTAATACGTATTCTTTACGTTCGGGGTCACCATTTTTGGGTCATTGTTTGTGCATCAATGACCCTAATGTTTGTATCTAATACTCTCCTAGTAACTATGCCAGCTGGCTGATAAAAGTACTAGAGATATCTCAGTCCGCCCAGCTAAGCAACTGTTGATCCGTAGCGTAATACCCATGAGAGAGTATATCGGCCGGCTCAGCTGATTAGCTTTTGTACCGTCGTAGTACCAAGGGAGAAGAAATTAAACACCGCGGTTGCTTTCGTGCGGAAGAATGGTTTTTTTTTGTGTGCTGTATGGTTGTTGGCCTCGGATGGCCTCGACAACCTTGCCTGGGCTTTTCGGTGAGCGCAGAGGGCTCTCAACCGGTCTTAATTAAGTAACATCGCCCAAGGGCACCCCCTGTGGGGTACGAACCTCGGCTTGGGGCGTTACTGGCAATCTAGGGCATTTCAAAATTAACGCGGCACGCATTCCGGCCCCGGCGGCGAGGACGGAATCGCGGACGATTTGTGGTAGCTGCGCGAGCTGTGTACACTCGCTGTGTTTTGGTCTACGTGTGCGTGAAATCGTGCTGGGTGTGTAATTAACAGCCGCAACCACTAGAGGGTTGGGGTGAGTCGGAGCAGAGTCAAAGTAGCTAAGGGAGCACTGTTTTATGAATTGCCTGATGGTCGGCAGCTCAAGGTCGATATAACGCACATACCACGGAGCTCCCGTAGCCCGGCGCATGAAATTATTTTGGAGTGTTTGTAGCCTATGGATCCTGTGTTGCCTAGCGTGTGAGAATACTACACTACCGCATGTCATGATAGGTCTAATATATGACGTGTATAATCTGACTTTGTTCTTGAGTGATATTTTGGACTTTGAGTTAACTAAACTATGGAGTCGACCCAACACGAAGGCGGCCCTGTTACGAACCGCCTTAATGTGGGGCCCGAAGGTTAGTCGATCGTCAAGGATTATACCTAGATAAATATCCTTATCTGTTGGGTTTTCTCCAAGGGATACAAGCGGAGATGTCTCCTATGAAACAGAACCGCCTGGCTCTTCTCGGGGTTGACCTCTATTCTCCATTTCCGAAACCACGCGCCTAGGACGTTGGCAGCGGTCAGGAGTTTTCTGGCTACTGCTGAAGGGTCTATTCATGAACAATAGTGCTATCTGCACAAGCCGATGCTTCGGGATGTCGCTGGTGAACAGCGTGAATAGGATAGGGGAGAGCACGGACCCTTGCGGGACGCCAGCTCGGATGGGGTGGGGGGAGGATAGCGATCCTTCTACGCGGTAACGAAAACTGCGGTTCGACAAGTATCTCGTATGATGAGTACGAGTCTGTGGGGCACTCCCATAGTGTATAGCTTATAAATTAAGCCGTTGTGCCACACTTTGTCGAAGGCTTTTGCTACATCGAAGAATAGGACTCCTGTGAAAAGGTTTCGTTCAGAAAGCGAGATGAGTCGGTTCTAGGTCTTTTAAAGTTGAGTCCCATCGGGATTGACGCATTTCGTTCATGCGTGTTTTAACTGCCCTCTCTAGAGTGCGTAGTCTTATCCTATAGTCCTCGCATGGATAGCGGTCATAGGCGCGTACAGTAGCGTTCTTCTGTCTCAACACGTTACTCTCTGTTCACGTACGTCGTCGGGTAGGGGATTTATTTTATACTTCAGCTTCTATTTATACAAAACAGTACAATGGTTCCATCCCACCAATAGTTCCGTCAAGGCGCCAATATGATTCGACCAATCACGAAGCTAATGTTTTCGACGCGCCAAAAGTCTTCATCATGTAGCTCGCTCATTCAGCGTGGCGTGCGGATGCGCACGCGTAGCCAGATGTGAGAAGGCAAACCGTATGACAACGAACACGTGTGACAGCATTGTTGAATAGAAGATTCTTGATTGGTGTCGTCTATTGTTTGTTAACCGGTAGTCTAATTTGACATTTCTTTCCAAACAATAAGTCTTTCGGTATACACATCTTCGCACAGTATTGTTAGTAAATTGTTTGCGTGTTTAAGTTTCATGGGTCGCGATAGCGTGGACGCTACCAATTTATTCTTTAAATAAATATGTATTTATCTTGGCTGACTGGCCAGGGTATAACGCACAGTCTAAATTGCTGGTAAATACGTGAAATTTTAGGGACGTTTTCTATAGATGATGATGATGAAGGCCAGATTCAGAACGAATTAGGAACAGATTTCTGTTATGACTCTTCTAAGAAGTTTAAAAAGGTTGATAGTTTTCAGGATAAAAGAAGTTTGTTTGACCTAAAAAACTATTATCTGAAGAACTATAGTTGAAAAAGAGGACAATGTTGACTGTCAAAAGCAAGGAAGAAGAAACCTGTGTACTTTTCTTTTTGGGAAGTAAATTAAAAAATTCCAACCAACAACAGATTAAAATTCTACTTTTAAATATTGCAATTTCTTTACTTAAATTATTCTAAAAATTAAGTCAAAATTGAGTCGTCTGTTTCTGTGAAAAGAACAGTTTCTTACTAACTGAATAAAATTGTAAACAAATAAATATTTCGGACATCTAAACACACAACGCCATCTAGTTTCAAACTAAACAGAGCTTGTACTATGAAAGCTATATTGATTGATAGAATACTTATATACTTTTTTTTGTAAATACATACATAATACTTAGAAAACACCCAAAGCCCGAAACACATATTTGCAGGTCACACAAACATTTGGTCCGACCCGGAAATCGAACCCGAGACCTCAGCACAACAGTCCCATACGCTACCTACTGCACCACCGAGGTAGTCGAGTAATAATAATATAATAATAATATTTCCAGACATCTGACACGCTACTGGCGTAATGTGGATATAATAATAAATAATAGAATACTTAATGTTATCAGTAGTTACTTAGGCTACTCTAATTTTTGGACATTTAGAATGGTTCTGGCAAGCACAATTGATAATGGAATGAAGTATTACTGGCGTTGGGCTGTCCTGTGCACTACAACTCTTCTCACGCGCTCTTATGGTGGGGGAGTTCTGTACTGTGCATTTAATTGTTGGGAATTTCAAAAACATATGCAGTATTTCCAGCGAATATATTAGGCTAATTTGTATATAAAACGCGAGTTTATAGATTTTTTTATGGCGAACTGAGAATAAAGAAATAAGTAGGTAATGTAAAAATTGAATTACTTTAAACTTTTTTTTTGTATGTGTGGACCGATCTCCAAAATTGTTTTTGTAATCGAAAGGGTATGCTCCCGAAGTATTCACATTACCACCAAATCAGGCTCTGATGATGGGATCGTAGAGGAATCAAGGAAAACCCTCCAATTTTACAGCCCGACAACGAGTTTTAGCTTATTTCTCTAGCTTTATTGCGTTTAGTAGTAGTTATGTCATGTTGCTGAGCTAATGATGGAAAGATCCTTGACGTTTAGCAGTTAGAAAATAACTATTTCAAAAATCTAATCATGTATTGACATTGTTTTATTCTTTCAAGATATGATTTGTTAGGTGTTTGTGTGGGGTTACAGAGATATGTGCACAAGAGAGTTATAAATGAGATTACAAAACATTTAGACAAAAAAAATGTTTGTTATGCAATTATTTTTATATTTGTTAATTAAGTTAACAAACATAAAAATAATTGCGTCTTTTTTATTTGTAAACCGATTTGGAAAATTATTTCTTTATTTTAAAAATTCGTTATGTAATCAAAACGGTATACGACGTGGCCAAAGCCTGATTTGGTGGTAATGGATACCACCAAATCAGGCTTTGATGATGCGATCGGAGAGAAATCGAGGGAAACCTTCAACTTTTACAGGTATGTCAACTATGTATACTATGGGGATCTTGTGTCAATTAGGGTGAATTTCCGTGCGTTTAGGCGATTCTGCCGTGCATATTATAGAAATCAAACATAGCTCACCTAGGACCCGTGATATTTTGTGGCCGTGGTGCTTGCCTATTTTACTTCATTTTGTCTCCCGCTTTGCTAAGGAGGGAAGTGGATTTACTGTATTTCCAACTCCTCCAATTTTCTTCTGATTAATTTCGTTGCGGGTTTCAAGACAGTTTAATTTCTTCTTGGGACTTCCCGAGTGTCATAACTCGGTGTTTTCGTGGGTCACTGCTGAGGATCCTGGTGTACAGGAGTTACAGTGATGGGCGTGTGGGTGGGATTAGTCGCAATAAAAAAAAAAGGCCCGACAACCTGTTTTAGCTTGTTTGTCTAGTTATATAGGTATTTGCGTTTAGTAGTTAATACTTTTGTCATGTTGCTGAGTTGATGATGGGTCCTTGACCTTTAGGAGTTAAAGGATAACTCTTTCAAAAATCTAGTCATGTGTTGACCTTGTTTTATTCTTTTAAGATATTTGTTAGGTGTTTGTTTTGGGTTACAGAGATAAGTGCACAAAAAAGTAATATATGGGATTACAAAACATTTAGAAAAAAACAAAATTGTTACGCAATTTTTTGCATGTTTGTTACCGTAAACCGATTACAAAAACTATTTTTTCATTTGGAAGGGTATATTTCCCCTTTAAAGAAAAAATACCACTCCTAGTTTTATAAAGTTAAGTAATGTGGAAAACAATATATTTTCGGTTTTGAATGTAACATCTTACTACCTTATCTAAATAAAGTAACGGACTTATTAAATTTTATTTCATATAATCTAACATACTACAGTTTATTACTATACGTAGTGTTTTAAATATCGTACCTATCTACTCATTACAAACATATCATACACTAAAAATGGTAAAATAAATCCTTTAAAAAAAAAAGTTGAAAGCGACTTCAAACAATACTGACAAAGACCAAATTTTAAAATAATTACAAATCTAAGTAAATTAACTATAATAAGTAC